AGTCCCTGGTAAGTCACAAACACCTAAAAACTTATCTCTTTAGGCCAGGGGTGTCCAATCCTGGTCCTCGAGGCCGCAATCCTGCATGTTTTAGATGTTACCCTCTTCCAACACACCTGATTCAAATGATCAGCTCATCATCAAGCGCTGCAGAAGCCTGATAACGATCTCGATCATTTGAATCAGGTGTGTTGGAAGAAGGGACACATCTAAAACATGCTGGATTGTGGCCCTCGAGGACCAGGATTGGACACCCCTGCTTTAGGCCTTCAGTCATCAGATAATGCAGGATTATCAACATGTTTACCATTACTTTTTTTTTTTTTTAGACATTCAGCAAATCATTACGGACCCTGTTAAAGCTGTAAACGACGCTGTTGATGAAGCCACCAGTCTGCTCAATAAGTTTCAAGGTACTGACATTACACTTTTTTCCCCTTTTTAAAAAGAAAATATTTGTTAACATGAGAATTGTATTAAATGTCTGACTTTTCTTTCTCCAGAATGTGCACCTGATTTAAGTGACCCCACGTCTGCTGCCATTTATGCAGCCGAGGAAATATCAGCAGCAAAAGATGGATTTGTTCAATACTATTCAGATGAGGAAGGTGTGACAGCTCACTCAAACTACAGCACACCACACACACACACACACAGGAAAATAACAGTTTAATATAAATGTCAAGTCACCATGTCTCTAATCATTTCTCTCCAAACCTGCAGGGACCTTCTACCTCAGCTACGTTGACCCTGTGGTCATTGGCAGACGAGCTTTCCATTCAACTAATGACTTCATGTGTGGACTGGTGGGCTGCTTCAGGGACACACTATGTGCTGCTGTAGACACTATATTAGATACCATACAGGCTATAAATAAAGGTATGTCCTGCATATCTCGATGCTTATTTCTGATATAACACTTTATTTTTGTGTTTCACACTGAATTAAATAACATTATATTAATGTACCATTGTTAATTTCGTTAAATTTAACCAATTCTATCTTTTAACTGCCTGGTTGAAGCATTAATTAATTAATCTTCTCCCTCACAAATGTTTGTTTGTTTTTTTTTTCTCAGGAAAAATAGATCTTAGCTACATTGACCCTGTGGTAATAGGCCGAGGTGTCTTCAGTGTTACTAATGAGTGCGTGTGTGGAGTGGTGGGCTACATCCAGGCTGTGCTCTGTTCAGTACTGGACATGATGCTGGATGTAGTGAAAGGTATTTACTCTCTTGTGTAACCGGTAGCCTTTTAACATCTAAAAAAAAGACTATTTAACACAGTTTTTAGTGCTGGATTTACAGACTGTGTCCGTGCTGACTGATTTTCTGATTGTTTTTTCTCAGGAGTCACTGACATTAGTTTCATGGACCCGGTGCTTATTGGCAGAAACGTCTTCAGCACTACTAATGACTTTGTGAGTGGAATCGTGGGCTCCGTCCAGAGCGTGCTGTGCGCCATCGTAGACAGTATCCTGGAGATAACTAAAGGTACCTGCTCCTTTGTTTTCTTTTGTTTTGTTTGTGGTCCAATAATTACATGTTACATTATCACGTCTTTTTGTTATTTATTTATATTTTCCAAACTGTGTTAGAAACTGATCACTAAATCAACATATCACTCATATCACTGGACTTAACAGATTACTAAAATACAAATACTGCTTGTTTTTGTAGTGAAAATGATGGATTACTGTTAGTCTTTAACTATTTTTAACAAGAAAGCTTTGAATCTGTCGAATGAATGAACTCACTGGAGTCTCTCCCTTAATGTGTGCTGTCTTTCTCAGGAACAACTGACATTAGCTACATTGACCCTGTGGTTATTGGCAGAAATGTCTTCAGTGTTACTAATGACTTTGTGAGTGGAATAGCAGGATACATCCAGGATGTGCTCTGTGCAATCTTGGATGTGATACTGGATGCGTTCAAAGGTACAGTACCTGCCAAGAGTTAGACACCTAATCCATGCAGCCTCATTACAGTGCACACAGAACACTGTAGCTCACTGCTGGCAGCTTTCACAAACCTCATGAGTGATTCTATTCTTGTCTCCGTTGATCAGATATTCAGCAGGCTGTGGGATTCAGTCCCATGTCGGTTCTGAAGACAACTGTGGAAATCACCAAAGAACAGATAAACTTGCTTGTGAGCTACTTCTCAGCAACCGTGATTGGCGAAGAAGGTGCGTTTCAACATCAGTTATGAAAAAAATATACCTTACACACCAGCTTCATGTCATAACATTCAGAGATATGAACATGCGGCAGAAATATTCTAAAAAGCAGCTTTTACTTCTTGACTCTTGTTCTGACTTTTCAGGCATCATGCCCGAAGTGTCCCTCGACCCAGTGAAAGTTGTTGAGGATGCTGTGTTGGAGTTCACAGACAAGAAAGATTTGTTCGTGGCTTACATGTCAAGCATGCTTGTTGGGGATCAAGGTGAGATTGTTTGCAAAAGCTTCACAGAAAATATTCTCTTGTTCAGAAAAATAAAAATGAAACTTTAAACCATGGTGCATTTCTTTGTTTGTTTCAGGTGAACCTGCCGCCCCTCCAGTTGTAAATGTAGTAACTGAAAAAGGTTTCACCTTTTATTTACTGTTTTAATTCATCTAGATGCATCTCATTAACAAATGACTGTTTAATATTCTTATAAATACAAATTTACTTCACAAAGCATCTTGGTTCTCTTTGTTTAGATGAAACTGTAGCTCCTCCATCTGACATCAATTTGGTAAGAAGGAAAGGTGAGTAACGTAAAGGCAGTATTTTATATGTTTCATTGCAGTAATACAGAAAATCTGTCCTTTAAAAAACAGGCTAAATGTCTTTCCTTGTATTTTCTGTAGGTGAATTTCTGCCACCCTTTGAAAAAGGTAAGACATATTCTCCACATGTTGCATATGTGCTCTTAACAATGTATTTTTCAACAGGTGCAATGTGTGTTGCCAGCATATAGAATGCATAGACTTGTTGAATGGTTTTTTCCATGTGTGTGTGTTTTTCTTTTTTTCTTTTCATGCATGTTTGCATTGATGTGCGTTTTTCCTGCCCTGTGATGGAACTGTTTCTCAGCTCTGCCTTGTGCTATGTGTTCATGTTCAGTGTAATACAGCATCCTTGGAGTCCTATGAAACTGTGTCAGTCCTGTTTGAATACATTTTATTTGTACGTGATACATTATGGCATGAACAAATGTGCATTATAACCACTGTACATCTTTATCATAATAAATGTCTCTATGCAACCACGTTGTGATGGATTTGGTGACTGCATTCCCCTCTTTCTTTGTGGAACTGACCATTTGCTGTAAAATTTTACAGAACTGTGCGTTATTGTGTTTTGCTGCATTGTTCTCGATCCAGTCATCGTGTTTTGTCTCCTTTTAAAAAAACGTTTCTCCGTGTCATACGTGCATGACAACTTGTTAATGATATGTGTCCTTTGCATTCCTCTGTTGCCCATTCCTGCATCCTGTGTATGACTCACTCATGCCATCTGTATTTCAACCATATAATTAACCGTCATATGTATACCTTTGGATTGTCTGAACTGTATGATGTGTTTTCATGAGGAGGACTTCGTTACACCCATGCATGTAATCATACAAGCCTGCACCACATGTTCAGAAGTTAGTATTTTTTTATTGTGGTAATATTTTGGAGAAGTGCTGCTGGAGGAAAAACACTGTCAACAAGTGTTATTAAAGAACAAATCTGACAGCAATCATTTTGTTTCTCAAGAAATTCCATGAAAAGACTAAAACCAACGATGAACCAATTCCACACATCTTTTGTCGCTGTAGTCGCATTCTCTTATATCGCACGCTTCTCTTCGGTTGCTTTACAAAACCTTTCAAACACAGCAGTGAGCCACACTGTGTAGCTCGTTCCTTCATTAAGATGTTCATGTGCACAACAGTTCACTTTGATGAAATCCCAGGCTGCAGGAAAAACTCACTAAACCTTCAAATATGCGTTAAACGATTCCTGACAGTTTTTACACCTTTTTTGTCAGAGTTGTTCTGGGCCAAGTAATTTTTAAAAAATTCTATTTCATGCAGCTTTTACACGTATCCCCTTGTTTCTGCAGGCAAGACTGTAGAATCTATATCTAAAAGCTTCCACTACGTCCACAACTAAACCCAAGTCATGCACACTTCAGCTAATAAAAACGTGTACAGATTCTTTATTTACATATCAAAATGAAAGATGCACTTTATACTGCCTGTTCTCTTTTCGCTGCCAGAAAAATGAAATCTTTGAATTGCTGCAAAATCAGTATCTTGTTGTTTCTGATTGGTCATAACTACTTGTTTTTAATGTGGCTGAATGTGGTTCCATTGTTAAAATGGCTCCATATGGGAACAACATGTTGTGAAAAAATGGTTCCACAACAAAGTTCATGCAGTAAAATATTAGTTACTGGATGTTTGTAACTTTAGTTCTATGAGTGCATTAGTCGCCACCTAAAGGGCTTCAAAAATGTTGTGATGTGACCAGAGGGGTTGTTGTTAGTTTTTTGGGGCCCTGGCCACCCAATGGTCACCCCTTGTCTCCACCCCTGAAAATAGGCCCCAACAAATGCATTATTTACTCCTGCTAGAGTCATTTTTGCTGCAAACTACAATTCCCAGCTGCTTTAGGAAGCTAGAAGGGCTTTGAAAAGATACTAGAAATAAGCCTTAACTATCAGTCTTCAGTAGAGGCGAGTATTGAGAGATAAACTAATTCAATATTGGTTTTGGTCATTTGTAACATTTGTTGACAGTAAGAAAAAAAATAAAAGAACTCCAGCCTTATCTTAAGAGCTAATTTCAATAATATGATAACCAAACAGTCCCTAACAGCAGCATGTGGTGTATAACGCATAAAGTCATGAATGGTCATTGTCATCGTTCACATTTCACCCCATTAAGTCCCTTCTGTACCATAACATACATTTGGAGCTGTATTTCCAAGTAAAATGCCAAAGATGTGAACATCAGACAGAAGAGATGATGAGGGTTCATGATACAGTTACAGAGATCTTACACGCTGCCAAAGATGAAGCTGCTCCTGCTACAGAGATAAGTGAAGACTCAAAGACGGAGGAGGAGGAGGAGGAGGAGGAGGCAGAAGTGCCCCCTGAAATCACCAGTGAAGCAGATGTGCAACAGGCACAGGAAGATGAGGGTATACACATGTTTTGTTTTGTTTTTTGTCTTTTTTAACAGTCACATTCATTAGATTGAACGTCCATAACAGGCACTAAATGTATTGCTGTCACGTCACTAGTGAAAAATGTCGACCTCGAAGAAAAAGAACCTGAAACACCTCTGGAGGACGAGAAAAGCCTTGATCATGACAGCAAAGAGGACGAGGAAAAGGAAGAAGATGATAAAGAGGAAGAAGAGGAGATTCCAACAGTGGAGGATGCAGAACAGCTGGAGAAGGAGGAGGAGCAGCATGAAGAAGATCAAGGAGAGAGAGACATAAAGACAGAG